TTTTGATTTTTGGACTCAAATAAAAAAGCAAAGATGTGGGACTTTGTGCAACTTTCGATCTATTTTGAGTCATATGGTTAGAAAGGAACACGAGGACATTTGAGGATAAAAGTATTGATGAAGCAAAGATGTGGGAGAAAATCATTTTTTTGGTATCTTTTTGGACTTTAGTGGTTCCCTCGTTTAGGGGAATCTCGCTTTTTTATTTATTTATTTCTAGCGATTGGAAGTCCGTGTGTGACTTTTAGATTTTTTGGTTTTTGTTTTCGAGGACTTCTTGTCCTCCATTGTATTGCCTTTTCTTTTGTTATTGATAAAAAAATAAAAAAATAAAAAAAAGTCTTATAAGAATTTTATGTTATTGGTGTGTCTAACTAATAAAAAGGGACCTAACTAGGGATGGGCAGCGGATATTGGGATTCGCCCAAACCGACCAAACAAAACTGATTCGCCGCATTTTGAATGGATGAGTGATGACGAGCGGACGGTTGTAGATTTATTTTTTTCAATCCGCCTAATTTTGAACGGATGGTGGATTTGAGGTTCTTTTGGCCGCAACCGAACCACCAAACCCCGAGCACCTCTAGTAATTTATAAGACTTTGTGTTTTCAATTTGTTTAGATATTCTATTTGTGTTTTCAATTGAAAAAAAGTTTAGATATTCTGTTGTGTTTTTAATTTGGAAATCTTTTTATCAAATGGCAAATGTTGATATTTTGTATTTTTGTGTGGAAAATATAAGTCTTAATTTGTCATTTAAAAAAAAAATCAAATTAAATAGTTTTTGAATAAAAATAATTAATGAAATAGTTTTGATAATGCATGGTTTTCTTATATGTATTTATTATTGGTATTTGACAAATTATTTTATAATATTTTAGTTATGTTGACTTGAATTGTTATCCAAAAAAAAAAGTTATTAAAAAGTTGTTGTATTATGTCCAAAATTTGTAAAAGTTTAAATCGCCAAACTGATTCGCATCCATCCGCCAATCTGCATCTGTCAATCCAGTGAATGGATGCGGATTGATTTTTTCCAATCCGCCAATCTGGCAGACAGATGGCGGATTGGAGGTTTTCTAACAGAAACCGAACCGCGAACACCCCTATATCTAACCATTGCATTAACCAAAAAATAAGGATGCAGCTCCTCTCTAGTCCACGGATTGGACGATATTGTTTCAGCTTGTGGTGTCTATCACAGGTATTGCCTTGATAATCTGAACTGTTCATTTTTCAGACCACAATGTATAAATTATCCATAAAAAAAATCAAGTTGATCCGATAATGGTAGCCACCTTAGTTTAGGGTAAACGACTAATATGTCATAATAGCTAGACTTAATTCCTATTAAAAGTCTTATTGAAAGTTAGTCATACTAAAATCATCATTAACAATAATTTTTTGTGACAATTTTTTGTTACAATTTTTTGTATATGTTGTTAAAAATTGACAATTAGTGACTTTTTTTGTCACAATTTTTTATAAATTGCCACTAAAACTTACAATTAGTGGTGTTTTTTTGTGGCCTTTTTTTGTGACAATTTTTTTAAACTGTCGCTAAAATTTATAATTAGTAACATTTTTTGTGACAAAATTTTCAAATTGTTATTGAAAATTAACAATTAGTGACGTCTTTTAATAGTGTTTAATGAAAAATACCATTAATTATCACAAGACCTATTGGACAATAAATTTCTCGTTAGTTTATGGTATTTAGTTACAAAAAAATGAATGATAAACATTATTTGAAAACTAGACCATTTATATATTGAGAGACAAATCCAATAAACTAATATGGATAGATTATCAGATCGACCTAATTTTTTTTACGAATAACTTATACGTTATGATCTAAAAAATAAATAATTTAAATTATCAAAATAAAATCCACGAACCAAAACAATGTCATCCAGTCCACTAGAATGGAGCTGCCTCCTACAAATGAGGGAAAAATTATTTGACAGAATACGACTATGTAATTCTCTTGACCCATATAATAATTTTTGGTAAGACAGCCATAGCAAAGAGTGGACGGTAGCATCAACATTGACTCGCAATAGTTGGCAAGCTATCAACTTGAAACGCAAGACAAAAAAAGGAACAATGAAGAGTAATACTATATGTATTAATTAATGTATCAATTAATGATATGATATAATTTAAGATATTTTTAATATTTGTAATTTGTATAATGAGTGGGGTCAATAATAAAGTCATGACCAATGTTGGTACACTAATTAATGTATGTAGTACCACTCAATAATAAAACCAAATCAAGCCAATAAACGCTACGATAAAAAAGAAAACAAATAAATAATAAAATATTATGATTGGCATGCAAATCACCATAAAAAATAAATAAATAAAACATTTATGTTTGTAATAAATATAATAATGCATACACCATTTAAATGAAGAACCTAAAAACTTGTTTAAATTTAAAATTAAAAAAAAAACACTTCATATATTCTAATACTAGCGGGTGGTAATGTGATATGTAGGGGTGTAAATTTAGCCTGACCCGGACCACTCGGGCCCGGGTTCGAGTTGGACCCTGTCAGGTTTCGCAAGCTCTCGCCAAAATTTTGGCAAGCTCGGCCCTGCCCACGTGCTAGAAAATTAGGCCTAGGCCCAGGGAGTATTCAGGCCTTGGGCTGGCCGAGCCTCGGGATGGGCCAGTGGGCTCGAGCTTGGGCTCAGGCTTGAACATTTTTTTTTTTTTATATTTTTATATTTTTTCACCAAAATGTTATTTTTTTCCACCAAAAATGACACTGGGTCTCGGGCGGGCTGGGTCTTGGGCCATGTTTTGAGTGGGCCTTGAGCGGGGCCGATGGACCTGGCCACGGGTCGGCCCAGGCAGGCCAGACCGGGCCTCAAAATGATGGTCCAAGCCTAGGGCTAGGATACCGGACTAGGCTTGGGCCTAGCCAGACTTCGGGCCACCCATGTTAGCTTAACTGGTACAAGTTCTCCTACATTAAATTCATAGTTATGGGTTCAAGCCACATTGCCACGTGGTATTAGGAGAGCAAAGTTTCGCTACACAAATTGAGGTCTTCACTTAATAATAGTACAGATAGATAGATTTAAGAGATTAAATTAGTTAATAATTTTTTTTGGGTAGGATAGAATGAGATTTTTAGTTTATGGTTCCTGATATTAAGATTTTATAAGATAAATGACATGTAATATTGTCATAGTAGTTGGGGTTGCTCCACATTATTATAGAGAAATTTCAGTTCGTTGACGATATGGAGCAGAAATTTTTTCTAATAATAATATTGAGAGACCTCAACTAATAATACAAAAACCCTCTCCTACTATCAAAAGTTAGAGAGGATGTTTCACCATTTGTCTCAAATAAAATTTATCATAGAATAAATTTATTTACTATGACTTTGCACTAATGCAGAGAAAATGATTCTCCAATATTCTTAGGGATTTCGAAAAGGTAGAGAGAAAATTTTTCCAATGAAATATGTGGTGTAAATTTAAAATTTCCTTTTGTTGTGTGGACCATCCTAAAATGAATATGATCCTACACATTGTATTTTCTGAATATTATTGTAAAAAAAACATGAAAAAATCTCCCTAGACTCAGTTTGACTCTCAATCAGTAGTTCTAGGAACTCAGAAAAATAAATTAAAAAGTTCTCAAAATTTGTAATCGAAGGTTAAGATTTACTCATATGTAACTTATAATAACAATTTCTAGGAACTCAGAAAAATAAATCAGAAAAGAGACTAGAATTGATAGTCAAAAGTTGAGATTTACCAGTGTATAACCCCATAATAACAACTTCAAATACATACCCTTAAATACAACATCTAAGCTATTTTCGAATTTATTATCTAGATTCATAGACTTGGTTGGACTCTCAACATCTCGATATTGGCAGTCTCTTGAGTGTTTGGTTAACAACGAAAGGTGTGGTTGGTGAGAACAAAACCTTTCAAATCGCCATTGACTTGACTCTAATATGTGGCGGTGTTCGTCTAATAGCAAGGTCTGTGTGTTTATGTCTCCAAAAAATCATGAGAAATTTTATAATACACACGTCATTTGATTGTGGTATTAATTATAATTTATTGTGAATATTATTTTAATTATGATCAAAATACTCTTTGTTATATTTTATGTGGTGTTTGATTATAACTTATTGTACACACCCCAAAACAGGGCAGGTGTGTATAGTGGCACTACCCATTATTACCAACATCAAGAGTTACAGTTACAATTTGTTATCTAATCAAGTTAGATACACAATTTACAGACCATAATCACATTCAGTGATTGATGTTTCCATGGCTTTATCCAATTTCTTTTAGTACAATTTATTCTCATACTTCATATATCAAATCATTTATCCCATCTAATACTGGTATAACTTATCGTATAATCCTATTAATAATCTCATTCATATCCAATCACATAAAATTTAATCCGGTTGAACAATGACGAATGGTCGTTAGACTTGAAATCACCGAACCAATGACATTATGTTTACAAAAATGAGTGGAGTCAACTTGATCCACCTTGATTAACTGGGTGAGAGACAAGGTCAATATCAATTATACATTTTTTTCCGCGGCCTCATTGATTGGGAACCCCGCGTACACGTTATTACGAAGATGTTGTGATGCACTACACAATAATTTTCAGTAAGAAGGGTACATCAGGGTCACATTTTTCAAGTCATTTTGGGTGATTGCAAAAACATAAGGATAGTCAGGCTCAGTAGATGGACTTGACCCAATGAATTCTCTCAAATAATGAGTAGGCTTGCTATGAATTTTGGCAAAAACTTTTACCCTTCTCCTTTTATTTTTTCCTTTCATCTTCTAAAACACAAGATGGAGCAGAACGCCATGCTTTACAGGCCAAGTTCCTTCTTGCTTTTCTCTTACATTATTATTATCTTTTACATGAACTGTGTTCCCACTTTTAGTTTCACAAATGAGACAGATATGCAAGCTTTGCTAGCAATCAAGAATGGAATACAGGAAGATCCTTTCAAGGTCTTTAGCTCATGGAACAGTTCTCATCATTTCTGCAAATGGCAAGGAGTTACTTGCAGTCAGAGGCATCACCAGAGAGTGAGTGCTCTAAACCTTTCATCACTTACATTATCAGGTTCCTTGTCTCCTCACATAGGAAACCTTACCTTCCTTTGAGTGATCGACCTCGTGGACAACAACTTCCATGGAGTGATTCCATAAGCAGTTGGTCCATTGTTCAGAATTCAGTCACTTTATCTTGGAAACAACTCTTTCAAGGGAGAATTTCCTGCTAATGTGACACATTGTTCAGACCTTAGAGTCATTAATTTAATCAAGAATAATCTCAGTGGGAAGGTTCCTATTCAGCTCGGTTCCCTGCCCAAGCTTGAATATTTAGACCTAGCTCAGAATCACTTTATTGGGACAATCCCACCTGCACTTGGGAACCTCTCAGCTCTTCGTTGGCTTTATATGTCAACCAACAATTTACAAGGCCAAATTCCTATTGAAATTGGAAAGCTCTCAAACTTGGAACATCTTCAGTTGTCTATAAACAAGCTTTCTGGTCCGATCCCACCTACTCTTTACAACATTTCGACAATCCATTTTATAGCTCTAGCCTCAAACCAATTCCATGGAAGCTTGCCCCCTAATCTAGGCCTTGTTTTTCCAAAACTTGAAACAATTTTTATGGGATCAAACCAGTTCTCTGGGACCATTCCTGGCTTGCTGGCCAATGCGTCAGGTCTCGTACAGATTTCTCTTGCTGAAAATTCTTTCACTGGGGGCATACCACAGAACTTGGGTGATCTTCAACAACTTGAAGTTTTACAATTTGCGGGTAATCCACTTGGGGCTGAGAAAGCGAATGACTTGCACTTTCTCACCTCCTTGACTAACTGCACCAAACTCAGGTGGTTGGTTCTGTATAACAATCAGCTTGGAGGTGTGTTGCCCACTTCAATTGGTAATATCTCCACCAAGTTCGTAGGACTGAATTTGGATCAGAACTACATATCAGGAAGCATACCTCCGGAAATTGGGAAAATTGTCAACTTGGAGCTGCTTACATTAAATGACAACCATCTCACTGGCAACATTCCCAATTCCATTGGAAAATTTAAAATGATGCAAGAGGTCTATCTGAGCAACAACAAAATCTCAGGGAAGATTCCAGCCACCTTTGGTAACATGTCAAAACTCAGTATTCTTGAATTGAATCAAAATATGCTAGATGCAAGTACACCAGTTTCTTTGGGAAATTGCACGAATCTACAAGGACTGGATCTTTCACAGAATCGCCTTACCGGTATGATACCCAAACGAATTGTTGGACTTCCTTCACTCACTCTAGGCCTCTCTGTAGCTCAGAATTTCCTAGCAGGACCACTACCATCAGAAGTGAGTTATAGAAAAATATTGGGCTATTCGATGTTTCAAGAAACCAACTATCAGGAAACTAGGCCAGTAAATGGATCGGATTCGGATCGGATCAGTCAAAATCCGAATCCGATCCGAATCCGTTTAGTCTATATCCGATTATAGATATCCGAATCCGAATCCGATGATTTCGGATATCCGATCCGATCCATTTATTTATTTATTGAGCTGCAATTTTATATAATTTGATTTTTTTTTTCATTTTGTGTTTTTTTCATTCAAATCGAGAATAATCAGATCGGATTATCGGATTATCGGGTCGGGTCGGATTTTTGCATATTCAGTCCGATTAATAAATGGATTAAGCGGATTTGGATTATCGGATCGGATTTTTTGTAAACGGATTCGAATTATCGGATCGGATTCGGGTCAGATTCGGATTAAATCCGATCCATTGACAGCCCTACAGGAAACATTCCAAGCACTCTTGGTGATTGTCTAGTGCTGGAATTTCTTAATATGGAGGGTAACCATTTTGAAGGTACCATTCCACCATCTTTTAAACAATTAAGGGGACTTCAAATGCTAGACCTTTCTCTTAATAGTTTGTCTGGCAAGATTCCGAGTTTTCTAGGTGATTTCTCTTTGATTCAATACCTCAACCTTTCCTATAATAGGTTTGAGCGTGAAGTTCCTAGTGAAGGAGTGTTTAGCAATATCAGTGCATTCTCAATTACGGGAAATACCAAGCTTTGTGGAGGAAATAAAGCATTGCAATTGCCCGCATGTCCCACAAAAATTTTGAAGAAACAAAAAAAGCATTTATCCAACAGAGTACTAATTATTGCAATTAGTGTTCCTGTCTGCATCATTTTGCTGCTCGCATGCATTTGTGTGACTCTGTATTGGAAAAAAAGGTCGAAAGTGAAAACAACTTCAACCTTGTCTCTTGGGAACCAGTACCCAAATCTTTCTTATGCAGAACTTCTTCAGGCAACTGAAGGATTCTCCCCAAGAAATTTGATTGGTGAGGGAAGCTACGGTTCTGTGTACAAAGCGATTCTCAATTCTGAAACTATAAGAGCAATTGCAGTCAAGGTACTCAATCTTCAAGTAAGGGGAGCCAGCAAGAGTTGCTTGGCAGAATGTGAAGCATTGAGGAACATCCGACATCGAAATCTTGTTAAGATAATCACTGCTTGCTCAAGCATAGACTTCAAAGGCAATGAGTTCAAGGCTTTGGTCTTTGAATACATATCCAATGGGAGTCTTGAGAGCTGGCTACATTCTAGATCAGCGAGGAGGACTCCAGGGACTTGAGCCTTGTTCAAAGGCTTAATATTGCAGTTGATGTAGCCTCTGCATTGGATTATCTTCACAACCACTGTGAAACACCTGTCATTCACTGTGACTTGAAACCGAGCAATGTTCTTCTTGATGATGATCTCTCCGCCTGTGTAAGCGATTTTGGTTGGCAAGAATTTGTCTGACCGAGACAAGTGCATCCACTCAAACACACAGCAGTACTTCAAGTAGAATTAGAGGAACAATTGGATATATGGCTCCAGGTAATTTTATGAATTTTATAGTTCTTTTGTTAAAGTTCTCACTCTAAATTGTGTTTTACACTAAAAGAATCAGTATGTGTATCAAACTATGCGAATTCAGTTACATTATTTGAACCTCATATTTGGAAAAGACTACCTTTTACATAACGAGATTAATCAGTATTCAATTGCAACTACAATTAAATTGAATGTACTAAATTTTCATGTGATGTCAAAAGCTTTTTAATCTGTCAAAATACTGATCTTAAAATTTTCTGGTAGTTTAGCCCCTTCGGCAATTTCGATCCTCTCTATTGCATGTTAGTAATGGAGAGGCTCCATTACATTATCTAACGATAAGTGTAATGATCTTTCCATAATCATAAATTTGCGTTCTTATTTTATAGTCATTAGATACGTAACGGAAATCTTCCATTACATAGGATCAAAGTCCGGTATTGTTATTTGTTTATTAAGTGTTCAGTGTTTTCATTTTCTAAAAAACACAAAAAAAATATATATTTTGCTAACTGTTTCTGGAAATTTTTCTCAAAAAACAACCAACTTTTTGGACAACACCAAAAGGTTATTTTCGAATTTTTAAAAAATGTTAATGCACAAAAATTTAAAATATGATACGAAAATGAAGAAAACAAAATAATATCAAACTGTTGCGATTGTTTCTACTTGCAGAATATGCTGTAGGTGGGGAAGCATCAATAAAAGGTGATGTGTATAGTTATGGAATTGTTTTACTAGAGATGTTTACGGGAAAAAGACCAACAGACAACATGTTTACAGACAATTTCAATCTCCATAACCATGTTAAGATGGCTGCTGCTGAGCAGGTGATGGAGATTGTTGATCCCTCACTGATATCGGAAGGACCAACTAAATCAAATAGGACTACTGGAAGCAGCAGAGGCAATGTTGTTAGGACACTGAAGTGCTTAGGATGTATCCTTCAAATTGGAGTTATGTGTTCTGCAGATTTACCAAGTGAAGGAATGAATATTGGTGATGCTCTCAATGAACTGCAAGTGATTAGAGATGTTTATCTCGAAAAAAGAGAGATGAAATAAACAAGATGACAAGATCATCACTGTAGTTTTCTGTTGTGTCACCGTATTCATCTCAGTTATGAGTAAATTCTGAGATACCTGAATAACATAATTGTATAATTGTTTCTTGTTTGATGCAGCTTATTTATGGAAACTTCTTGCTTAAAATAAAAATCAGTAAATAAGTAGACATTTTGTCTCCGGATGTAAGGGATTTTGAATTTTGATGGTGTATCCAAGAAAAACTTATAGGCCCAATGTTACGGACCTATCTGATCATCTTTTGCATTTTGTTCAGTGATTTTTATAATGTTTTGTGCTGCCGTATTTCAGTTCTGAATACACGCTGATTGAATTCAGCTCAAGCCCAAGTTACTATAAATATCAATATCGGAGAGACACAAAACACAAATAAAAATAAGAAGAAGAAACAAAATCAAGCTTTTAAGAATTACCGCAAGAGATTCGTTCATTATTTTTTGGTTTTGGTTACAGAACAAAAAAAAAATAAAGGCTACAAAAGTGTAACATGCTACTTTAATTCGGATTATCTAGAATTGCAATAAGTAATTTAAATATAATCTTTATGGTACAAAAACATCAAAATTGCAAAGAAATAAAGAATAAATGGGAAGAACACAGTACAATGATCAGCTCACTAACTAATGACTATTATTTCTCACAACACTGGTTTCGTTTGGGAACATGCTATTTTAGTAACTTTTTAGTTTTTTTGTTAAAATATGAGGGAAAAAAAAATAGTGTGTTTGGAATGACTTTTTGATTTTTTACGAAAAGATATGCAAAAAATAAAAAGAAAAGGGAATCTTTGACTTTTTGTTATATGTTATTGGTTTTTTAATTTTTTTAGTCACTTTTTTACTTTTAGGCTAAAATAGTGAGTTGCTAAACAAGGATCAACCATACTTGCATGCTAACAAATCCAACAAAAAATTAAAAAGGGGAAAATGTGTAATTTGGGAGTTGAACAAGACTTGACACCAAGAAAGCATCAGATGTAATCAAACAGTACATGTATGGATGGTACCCTTTCAAGCATAAGATGGAGCCAGACATTCGTCAACCATATCTACAAGGTTGGGATTTTCCAAAGCGGCTGCCACCCGTTCTTTATCATTCAACTATTTATTCACTGTCAACAGAAAGGTGCACAACAAACATCATAAATCTTTAAGATTTATGATTACAGAGTGACTCGGCATTATAAATTGATAATCACCAACTCAGATCACATTGCATTCAAGGTTGTTAAAAAAGCGGCTGCCACCCGTTCTTTATCATTCAACTGTTTATTCACTGTCAACAGAAAGGTGCACAACAAACATCATAAATCTTAGAGTGACTCGGCATTATAAATTGATAATCACCAACTCAGATCACATTGCATTCGAGGTTGTTAAAATTGGAATTCTACGTAAAATCGGTACGAGGGTCTCATGGATTGGATCAAGGATTGTAAGATACTACTTTCCATTAAAAATAAGGTTAAAATACAAATTAAGATGATACATATAAAAAATAATGCAAAAGTTACAAATCTAGTGATCCTACTTAAGATCCTACATGATCCCATACGATCCTACACAATCCTACTTCTGATCATGCAATAACACTAATCCTACAAGAATTTGGATCATTTTACCAATTTAGGAGATCTTACAATCCCAATCACAATTTTGATAACCACGATTGCATTAAATACATTTAAGTTAATGATATTGCTCTTTAGGAGTGGATGCAGGAAACATTACCGAGAGACAGCCTCCACTTGATCAATGAAGCTTAAAGAAACTTCATATTCAGTTAAAGATGGATTGTGTAATCACAAAGCTGGAGGTTATATGTTTAGTTTATTTGTTTAACAGGTAGATGATAGATTGAAGGCGTTCCACCAAGGAGACCTGAATTGATGTCTCAAAACTCTTTACAAACTTGACCTGGCGAGTTTGTAGAATTAATAGTTGGCCACAAGGTGCTTTTCATATAATTAGATGCATACCACAGAGATGATAGCAACACATACATGTCTGAGAGAGAGAGAGAGAGAGAGAAACCTGCAGCTTCAGTTGCATGAGTTCCAGGTGCTACCCTGATATCCACCTGGAACAGTAACAAGAGATATGAAGAAAGAGTAAGACAACCTAAAACTGAAGGCTGTATTATTTATTTTATTGAAAAGCAAAATTGAAGGCTGTTTTATATTGTTAATTTTACCAAAAGCATCACTTGTTGGATTTTTCAACTGAAGTTTCAGACAGTTTTTGCTAATTCAATTTTTGGGGGAATTAAAAAGTCTACACATAATATTATTAAGAAAGAAGGTAAGACTCTAAACCCAGAACTTCGGAACTTTAAGCTTAACATATACTGTGTGTATATGTGTGTACACATGCTTCTCCTGCTGCGGTAAGGCTTTGGCTGCAGAACATGTTTCGTGGCCTGGAGTGAATATTAGGCGGTGAATATGCTATTCTACTGCCTACTTTGCCCTTCCTTACTGTTTATTTTGACACCCACCCACATCCCACATATCCAGGTATAACCCTGAGAACCTTTAACCATGAAAAGCCTCTCATACACCAATCTTTAGAGGTCTGTGCATTGCTATTCACCTACTCAAATGAGAGAAAAAAATAAAATAAAATAAAATAGGGGTTGCACATGCAAGAATGGTACATAAGCTCCAGCAGTGCCAGTCAGTTTGTAATCAAGTCAGAGAAGGGAGTTTCTCCGATCAGCTTTCATCCTTACTTTCACATATATTCAGGCACAACAGCACTTTTGACTACTGGAATTGGATTAATAACTTTATCGACTCCCAAGTCCCAATGTTCTCTGATGGTACTCATCTAAATACGTAATTAAGACCCATGATGTTGTTAACCAAGCTATCCATGCTAGAATCATACCTTATAATGCAAAGGTAGGCTACGCATGAGTTTCACTCGCAAGCAAAGGCCGATCACCGTTGCCATACTGCAATGTTCAACTGTTGGAGTGAATGTCACCCTGAATCAGAGAACCATTTTTAATTTAGATGACTGGACAGAAGTTTTGCAGGCGCTGCACCCGCTCGAGCGTCAAACTCCCCGCTCGAGCGGAGGAAGAAAAACAAGGGATCACGCTCGAGCGTAAAAACTACCGCTCGAGCGGAAACACTGCAGAGCAAAATACTGGGAGATGGAAAATCCCGCTCGAGCGTCAAAACTCCCGCTCGAGCGGAGAAGCAACAACGAAGGGCCCGCTCGAGCGTTAAAACCTCCGCTCGAGCGTGAAGGCTAAAATCTGGGCATCACCTATTGGCATCAACTATCAACCAACCTGTAACAGACCCGTCCAACACAACCTATAATTCAAATACTAAGAGATTAAAGGACAACAACAACCAATAAGTAATGACAGGATCCACGGAACCTAAGTCCGGATACAATAATCTAAAGAGAAAAGACCGGGGTTGCTATATGGAGTGAATGTCACCCTGAATCAGAGAACCATTTTTAATTTAGATGACTGGAGAATGAGACCCAATATGAGAATAAAAAACTTCAACAATACAGGGAATTTGTCTCTACCTCACACAGTTATGATTGTCATCTACCACAATTGCATCTTCTGTTATAACTTTCAGCTCTTCCAGTGAATAAGGATGCTCAGGATCTTTTATGTCTCTAAGATGATTTGAGAATGTTAAGAAAATCTCAGAGTTCCAAAACTACTTAGCTTCCTTGTACAATTTAGTTTGGTACTACACCTCTCATACTTATATGATAAGGCTTAGTGCCTAATCGTATCCCAGGAACAAACTCAAAAAAATTCAAAAATAGCTTTGAAAAAATTGTTTCAAAAAAAAAAAAAAAAAAAAATGAGGAGAAAAACAATAATGCAATGCCAAAAAATCTGCACTTATGCTTCCAAGTTCCAACCAAAATATACACTTGTTTTATGCGATATGTTCACATACATACTGGAGAAATGTTTGTGTGTGATTCTTAGATATATATCCCTACTCCCTAGATGGGCTGAATGGGGAAGAAAATTTTGCGATAATTGACCCCAAGTGGTTTAGATGCAGGCCCCGTCAAACAGAGTTGATGAGTTTATGCATAAATACACACACACACACATAAAGCTTTACAAGTAAATATGATGAGTGGATATACATATCCAATTTCCACATTTTGCTTTTGAAGCCTCTCTCAATAAAACATGCATAGACATGTCTATATATATGCACAATTGCATGGAGCTTAAATCACAAAGAGAGAGAGAGACAGAGCACCCCATTGTTACAAAATTCAAGAACAACACCTCAGAGATGCTGCTATTTCTAATTAAATTTGTACATTGTTTTAGAATAAGTACCTAAACCACTTCAATGCATGTGCTTGCAGTAGAGTAAACTTTTTGGTCTCCTAGTATTAGCATCACAACACTTTAGAGGCATTTTCCTCATTAATATTGTGAAACTGGAATGCCACTCCAAGGGGTTCAATTGAAACTGAATTCTAATAAAAGCTCCTTGAGAAATACAGGTCAAATAAAGACAACAAAACTGAAGATGGATCACAAGAGTTTGATCAACACAACTAAACTACAGATTCCTTTCCAGAACATTTCTATACATGTGAATTTCAATCCCAACAAAGCTTAGCAAATAAAGCTATGAATTCCGAGATATAAAACCAGGAAGACACAGTGGACATTACAGAGCATCAAATGTAATCAAACTGAAAGGATATCAAAAATTTCTAGTTGGTCAATGGCCTCCACAGCATACTCATCCACATCACCAGGTTCAGTTCTAGCTCGGCGTTCCTTCTTTTCATACACAATGGGATTGGCATTGATTAAACCAGAAACCATTTTCCTCAATCAGCTTGCTGAAAGTTCGCAGAAGTATTACATTAGACATTATGAACTTTTGTTCACATCACACCCAAAAGGGGCAAGAAATCACAAGTTCATGCCCAGATTGAATCCAAATTGATATCAAGTTGTTGCATAAAAATTGAACACCACGGACCCCTAGTTCATAGAATAATTTGTAAAAGAAAACGAAGTTTTTAATCAGAATATGACATTCACACACATTTAATTCCAATTCAAACTCTCCCCCATCATAAAACTGCCCCAACAAATCCTCTTTATACTTGAACTTCAAACACAATCTCTCTCGACCACACATAAATATCTCCAAATGAAAGTACCCCACAACGAAGAGAAGACATCCAACAACTTATATTTACTTGTGGGGAAAAAAAAAATAACTAAAGAAAGAAAGAAAGAGAAAAAAATATTCATTCAGGATACAAAATAGGAATATCATTCTTCACCACAAAATAAAAATATTTCTTTTCATGTTACTCTCTCCTATTATATATGATTATTTATTTATTTATTTTTGATTGGCACTGTGGTGTTTGGATCAAAACCCGACTAATTCCCAAAGGTCCATAGGTCCTTGACAAGGAGTTTTCCACAAGTGGACCGCGGTTAATTCAAGAATTTTCTCCCAGTCCCATGGCTCCAAAGAATTGTTAGCATCTAAGAGGTTTCAATCTTGAACCTTGGAGGGGAGCACACCCCAAGACCCAATATGATTATTGTTCTTTTTTTTTTTTTTTTTTTTAAATTGACAATTCAACTGCTAAAATGTTTTAAAAACAATCACTAGGGCAAAAAATTATACTCCATAATACCCTTACTTAGACATAAGAGATCAAAGCAAGCATTAAAGTAACTTCCAGCTTGAAGAACATGGGTTCAAACCACAAGCATCAACTGAATAGACGCCTATAATAGAAGCTACATAACCGCAATAAAACAACATGCAAATATACAAGAATAACACGTACAAATGTGTGTGAATTTTGGTTTTCCGAAGCTAATTGAGGAGGATAAGTGACGATAATTTTCTACAAAATTCTGGGTGTTTTTAAATTCACAAGCTTTCTCCTTGGAAACAAACAGATGGGAAGTTCAGGTTAAGAGCTCTAATATATATATAGACAAAATTGTATATAGATACATATTTTACCTTGAATCCGAAGCAAACAGGAAAAACAGAATCTCTTGAATTTGGCGCCGTAAAGAGAGCGCGAACCGCCTAATTGAGGAAGAGACAGTGATGATGCACAGGAAAATCAAGTATAGGGCTCCTGTCATGCTTCTTCAAAATTCCAACAAATTTGTCTTAATTTTGGCCTTTTTTTTTTTGAAATAAAAATATTTTGATAAAAAAATTATTATAAAAATGCGTAACTTTAATTTTTTTTTTTTAAAAAAACATATATAATAAATCACAAATTATAATAATTATGTCATATGTTTTTACAAAATATATAATAATGTGTATATTGTATACCTTGATTTTAAAAATAAATTTGAGAAAACTCGAGCATGTGAATTATTTATTTTGTAATAATATATTATTAAATTTTTTTTTGTTGAGAATGATATCGTTTTTATTTTATTGTGTTTATGTCAAAATAATTGATGATCACTTTTAAAAAAAAACTTGTCTTTTATCTTTTTGAAAACCAACATGATAAAAGAAAAATTTTTACGATTATTGGATGAACTTAATTTTTAAAGATTTGGAAGAGCACCTTGAAATGGCACGTACAAATGTGTGTGAATTTTGGTTTTCCGAAGCTAATTGAGGAGGATAAGTGACGATAATTTTCTACAAAATTCTGGGTGTTTTTAAATTCACAAGCTTTCTCCTTGGAAACAAACAGATGGGAAGTTCAGGTTAAGAGCTCTAATATATATATAGACAAAATTGTATATAGATACATATTTTACCTTGAATCCGAAGCAAACAGGAAAAACAGAATCTCTTGAATTTGGCGCCGTAAAGAGAGCGCGAACCGCCTAATTGAGGAAGAGACAGTGATGATGCACAGGAAAATCAAGTATAGGGCTCCTGTCATGCTTCTTCAAAATTCCAACAAATTTGTCTTAATTTTGGCCTTTTTTTTTTTGAAATAAAAATATTTTGATAAAAAAATTATTATAAAAATGCGTAACTTTAATTTTTTTTTTAAAAAAAAACATATATAATAAATCACAAATTATAATAATTATGTCATATGTTTTTACAAAATACATAATAATGTGTATATTGTATACCTTGATTTTAAAAATGAATTTGAGAAAACTCGAGGATCTGAATTATTTATTTTATAATAATATATCATTAAATTTTTTTTTGTTGAGAATGATATCGTTTTTATTTTATTGTGTTTATGTCAAAATAATTGATGATCACTTTTTAAAAAAAAACTTGTCTTTTATTTTTTTGAAGACCAACATGATAAAAGAAAATTCTTTACCATTATTGGATGACCTTAATTTTTAAAGATTTGGAAGAGCACCTTGAAATGGCCTCACAGCAGAGCACATGTACACTCTCTCTGTACATACTTGTGTGTGTATATATATATATCTTGGGAAATTCTCATTTATTTATTCACATTTATAAACATGGACATAGGTATATTGTGGTACACAAAAAGATTTTCTCATTTATTTATTATTATTATTATTTTGGTAGAAATCTCTGCATTTGATTTATTCCTAACTAATGTTAAAATTGAACGGCCTCAATTGATTCGGTTTCTTTTCTTTCCTCAGCAATTATTGTTATTTTTTTGTGGGGGTTGCTCATAAAACCGAGATGTGAAAGAAATAATACTTAGAGCTAGGAATTGTTGCTTTGAGATAATTTGTTTAACTTTTTACTTGTTAGTTTCACTTCCTTTTCTGGCATTGCTCTCTGCTACCAAACAGATCCCTTCCAACTTGTTAATTTTCTGTCCTCTGTTTGGTGGCTAAGAAAACCAATTTCAAGAATTGGAAGTGGGTTGCCTAGATTTTTATTCTGCTCTGTGACTTAATTGGATTAATTTGTTCTTGATCCTTGCCTTAGATATTGGCTTTAGTATGCCCCAGTAGCTGAGTTTAACTATGCATAAAACTCTCATTTTATCATAAGAAAGTCAAAAGAAGTATTTAAGAAATGTGAAATCTAACCATGTCTTAGTGTCTTTGTATATGAGAATTAGATGAACCCAATACAAGCTTATGTAGTAAATCAGTCTTTGAAATACATCCATAGTTTTCCCTCTAAAAAAAACAAATACATCCATAGTTCCATACTGTATCAAATAAACATAATCTACATACGTGTCTTCAAATAAGATGTCGTCGCTATATCTGCCTCCTCACCCGGTCTTTGAACATGAACTAGTACATTTCTAATCCTATGTAGTTCCACGAGAACATCTTTAATATCCATTTGTTCTCTTGGGCCTTCAGCAGAACAAGAAACTCCAATTTGAAATATCGATGCTAAGCATTCCTCTATTACTTTGCCTTCAGAACTTTGGCCGGTCTTACTAGACCCGTGTTCCTCTTCCATTATGATTTGTGGATCAACAATTTCCATCACTCGATGTGGGAGAACCATCTTAGCATAGCTATGGAGATTGAAATTGTCTGTAAACATGTCGTTGGTTGGTCTTTTTCCTGTAAACATTTCTAGTAAGAGGATTCCATAGCTGTACAAATCACCTTGTGTTGATATGTCACCACCCATACCGTATTTTGCATTTTAAGGAGGAAAAAAAGAAGAAAAGAAAAATAGAAAAGCCAAGGAAAAATAAGAGCATGAACTTGTAAACTGCTTCAACATATCCAAACTTACAGTCTTTTAGGGACTAATTTCAAGTACACATGGAAATGACCTGACTAAATAGCGGTGTTATATCTCCAACATCATCGCTATGATGCTTTAGATTCATATGATACTAGAAGAGAAATTGCAATAATGAAAAGGACAATCTGCTGAACAAGGCTCCTGCTAAAATGGGATTTGGGAGGGCAAGAAAAATTGAAATAATAATAACAATAAATTCAACCAACACTCCTGGGAAAGAAATTAGATGTATGAAATTTAAGCGGATCTTAATTACTTGGAGCGACATACCCAACTGTTCGTCTAATCCCAATTGAACTGCTTTGTGCGCAGTTGGAGTTTCCTGTGGCAGCTAAAAGAAATCTTGCTAGGCCAAAGTCACCTACATGAGCATAGAGGTTGTTGTCAAGAAGAACATTGCTTGGCTTTAAATCACAATGAGCGACTGGTATACCATAATGATGATGAAGATATTCCAATGCAGAGGCTACATCGATTGCTATGTTGAGCCTTTGGGTTAGGTTCAAGTTTTTTGTGTGATTCTACTTAGTTGAACTTGGATATAACCAACTCTCTAAACTTCCATTTGACATGAACTCAAACACCAAAGCTTTGAAATCATTGCCTTTAAAATCTAAGCTTGAGCATGAGGTGATGACCTTGACTAGATTCCGATGACGGAGGTTCCTTAATGCTTCACATTCTGCCAAGAAGCTCTTGTCTGCTCCACTTTCTTGAAGGTTAAGGACTTTCACAGCAACAATTTGCTCACCGGAATTGAGAATCCCCTTATAAACAGAACCATATCTTCCCTTTCCGATCAAGTTATCTAAAGAGAATCCATTGGTAGATTGATGTAGTTCTGCATAAGAAAGTTTCGGATGTTGGTTTTCCTCTGTTGACACCAGAGAGGGTTGTTTGGACTTTCTTAATCGATAAAGAACAGCACAAACACATACTACCAAGAGAACGATGGAAACTCCAATGGTGGTTGCGACCAATATCACTATACGTGTAGAACGCTTTTTTACCCTTTCTGTGGGACATGCAGGCAATTGTAGTTCCTTGACCTCTCCACATAGATTTCTATTCCCTAGAACTGAAAATGAAGTGATGTTTTTGAAAACTCCTCCGTTTGGCACTTCACCCTCAAAATTGTTGAAGGAAAGATTGAGATCGACAAGTAAATTCAACTGCCCAAGAAACAATGGAATATTCCCAGACAAATTGTTGTGTGAAAAATCCATGAATTGAATGGCTTTCAAGTTTTTTAGCTCTGAAGGAATGGTTCCTTAAAAAAAGTTGTCTTCCATATGCAAGGAGTTCAACATCAGATAGTTCCCAAGAGCACTCGGTATTTCACCAGACAATTTGTTTTCTGAAATATCCAGTGATACCAAATTCTCCAACTTGCCAACTTGTGATGGCAATGGTCCTGTTAAAAAGTTCTGGCGTACGATGAAACCGAGATAGAGCGAAGACAGGCCAATGACTTCTCCAGGTATGCCACCGGTTAGGCAATTTTGTGCAAGATGGAGTCCTTGCAAGTTACTGCAATTACCCAAAGAAACAGGTATGCTTCCCTCGAGCATATTTTCTTCTAAAATAAGAGAAGCTAATCCAGTGATGTTGCCAATAGAGTATGGAATTTCCCTGGAAATGTTATTTGTGAAAAGGTAGAATTCTTGTAAATTGGTAAGTTTGCCTATGGAATCAGGAATGCTACCTGTGAGCATGTTTGTATCGATAGTGATGTAAGATAAGCCAACAAGTTCTGTAATCTCTTGAGGTATGTTTCCAGATATGTAGTTCTGATCCAACCATACCGATGTGAGGGTGCTGGAGAGATTTCCGATCGAATTGGGTAAATTTCCACCAATCTGAATTCTAGATAAACTCAGTACTCCTAGATTGGTACAATTAATCAAGGTGGTTAGGAAGCTGATATCATTGGCCTTATCAGTTCCAAGTGGGTTACCGGCAATATGTAAAACTTGCAGATATTGAAGGCTTCCTAAATTTAACGGTATTGGCCCAGTCAAATCATTGTCTCCGATACTTATTTTGACAAGGCCTGAAGCATTGGCTAGTGATGGAGGAATGGGCCCAAAAAATTGATTTGTATTGGCTAAGAACAATTGGAGTTTTGGAAGGGTGAGGCCTAAATTGGATGGAAAATTTCCACTCAATGAGTTGTTTGTGACCGAGAAAATTTGGATGGTGGAGATGTTGTAGAGCTGATCAGGAACCATACCGGATAGATTATTCGAAGACAATTGGAATACATATAAATTTGAGAGGTGTCCAAGCTCGTTAGGAATGGTTCCATGAAGGTTGTTGTGTGCAAGGTCAAGAATTTGAAGAGCAGAGAGGTTTCCAAGTAAAGGTGGAATGTTTCCAGAGAAATGATTTCTGGAAAGACTCAGTTGATAGAGATTAGACAAAGTGCCTAACTCAGGAGGAATGTTACCTTCAAGGTTGTTTCCTTTCAAATCAGTGACCCGGATACGTGGAAAATGAGTCAGATTGGTCGGAATTGTCCCTTGGAAAGAGTTGTTTGCGAAAAGAAGATATTGCAGGCGAAACAACCTGCCAATTTCTAGAGGGATTGTGCCTCGCAAGTTGTTATTTTGAATATTGATATCTTCAAGGAATGTAAGGTTACCTATGTGAGGAGACAGGGAACCAGACAAGTGAAGTGATGACATGTTTAGGACGGTTACTCGTTGGTGTCGACTCCCACATGTAACTCCGTGCCAGTTGCAAAAATGAATAGAATCGGTCCACGAACTAAGAAATTGCGAAGGGTCGGATGTTACTAGATCTTTAATGGCGATCAGAGCTTCGTGGTCGGTTTCGTTTGTGAAACCAGAAGTTGGTTTGGATAAAAAACCAATGGAGTGAATGTAAAAGAGAAGATAAGAGAGAAGGAAAGTGAAACTTACTTTCCTGGAAAACATAATTGTGTGCAGCATTAGACATGAGAGTAATGATTCTAATTGTGTGATTTTATATGATATTGGGTCAATATGTGTGCAAAACTCTGGTTGAGTTACGGTATCATGGCACAATACGATTGGATCATATAGTCAATACAGCACATTGTAACTTAAAATACATCACATCGTAATCAAAAAGGTGCATCCCACAGATTTGACTTAAGTTATTTGAAGTGAATGAGATGTTAGGGAAAATAGATTATTTTTTACAAGTAAATTACTTAATGGGAATAAAAAGTAATGTGAAAAAATTAAATTAATAACGACACAATAATTTTTACGTGTTTCCTCAATGTAAGGTACGTCCACAGGATCGAAATCCTATTTCACTATCAATCAAAGAGTTTCTAAACGATTACAAACGTCACAAGACCACACTTAGGTAAATTCTAAATAATCATAAATAATTAAGAGGAAATATCTCACCAAATAGACGAACGAAAGTCTTCAAATAAAATTATAAAAGACCCAAAATAATATGTTCAAATCAGCTTCAAATCAAAGGTAACAATAGCCACAAACAAAGCACAATCAACCCACTGAAATTGATCAAATAGATGAGAAAGAAAAATGGAGAAAAACTTTACTCACTTTCTACTCATCTTTTTCATTTCGCTTCCGGAATCTCTACCCAAATTCATAACCCAAATATAGCCTTATGGAATGGTTCCTTTCTAGAATTTAGCCTACATATATGGGCCTTAAAACGTCATGCATAAGTATTCATTTTTACTGGCCTGACTTGTATTACTTTATCATTGTTTTTCTTTTCTGATTGAATAATTATTTTACTTTGATAACATTTCTTAATTGAATTTATCTTCACCACTTTACCTTCATATATTATAATGGCCCCGTTTGGTAGACCTGTGGGAAAGTGATTATAGCTTATACCTTAACAGCTTATAGTTTATAACTGTGAACATAAGCTGATTTTTTACTTATAAATTAAGTTTATCCTCCCCCACTCAAAGAATAAGTTGATTTTTTACTTACAAAAACTATAAGCTGTATTGTCAAGCTGAACCAAATACATCAAAATAGCTTAAATTAAGTTAAAAGCTAAAATAAGCTGGAATTAAACCTTACCAAACAGGGCCAATATATGTTACATGAATTTGGAAAATGAGTATCGAGTGCTGGTATGTCTAAATCTATTATCTTTCTAAAATTTGAGTGTTAAAATATGTATTTAAAAGTTGTGTATTGATATGCAGGTATGTCTAAAATATTTAAACATTTTGAGTGATGTATGATATTTTGATATAAAATGTAGTAAATTAATAGTAATATAATTGAAATTATATGGGATTTCTCTTTCTTATCCATGTTAGAGGATAGAAAGTCATTTTTACTAGCAAATGTTTTTATTTATTTTATTTTCCTTTTTGTTTTAGACCATTGTAAAAAAATTAGGGGAATCAAGTGCCGAGTTTAGGTACGAGTGTCGAACATATATCCTATATCTTGCTCTTGTCATTTCTTATGGACACATAGAGGAATAGAATAGCACTAACTATGATCATATGTACATCATTTCTGAATTTATAGTAGTTCTTCATCTTCCTTGTTCTCAAAACAATTTTAAAAACCTCCTCTTATAACAACATGAACATGAAATAAATAAATCAGCAGAACATGTTACTCCAATTTGAAGAATAGACTACAAAGCCTCCACTATTCTACCAACATTGTCTCTAATGCTTCCACTAATCTTTGTTTGTTGGTGCTTTCTTCATAAACATCACTAGTGAAAGAATCTCATAATTGTACACATCACATTTTATTGACACTTCCCCCACCTATAGCATACTTTACAACTGCAAGTTGAAACAATTAACAATTATGGCATGTTAGGTAATGTTTAGATTTACATTTTTTTTTACTAATATTTACAAAATTTTAAAAATTATAAACAAAAACTAATTTGATATCCATTTTCATTTTGAAAAACTTGTAAACAATTTACTAAATTTTTGTAATAAAAAAGTTGATTTCACTTTTAAGAAAACATATTTTCATTTCTTCCTCCTTGCACCCTTTTTGGCCACAATGCACCACTCATCACCCCCACCGGCCACCACCACCTTCAGCCACCATTGCATGCGATTTCCTACAACAACCACATCCTACCGGTGGGCACCTACCACATCTTGCTAAAAATTACCTTTGACCACCACTTACCGTTGTAAACCACCATCGGCCATCACATCTGGCAGCTTTAGTCACCATCCTCTATTTGCTTGCTAAGAAAACCAAGGTCAAGAATTGAAGTGGATTCCCAAGAATTTTTGTTTTTGTTTTCTTCCCCTTTTTGCATCTTTTTATCTTTTCATTTGATGTAAACCTTAAATTGCTAATCTTCCTTTCCTACCATCCCCTTGCACTCCATCACATATCAAATTGGTAATTTGCTTGTACAAGGTATTTTGTTTGCACTCTTGACTAGTTCACTACAAGCATTTAGGCTGGTCTAAAATTCTTCCCTCCCCCAATTTTTTTTTCCTTCTCTTCTTTTGATTGAGCCATTGGTACTTGTGTATTTCAAGTTTCAACCCATTTTTCAGGCCTAGGCTTGGGCTCAGACACAATTCCCAGAAAAGGCTATTTAATTGATAAATTCTTCTCTAGGGCTTCTAAATGGAGGCACAATTATAGAAATCTCTCTCACAACATAAGTTTGTTTACTATTCTGATGAGGTATGTGCTATATGTCATTTTGTAAGCTTTCAATATAATTGGACAGTTGAGTAATGGTATAAGATGTGTTTGGCATACACTCATTTGGTATGCCTAAGTAGTTGAGTTTACGATTTTAATAAAACTCCCATTTCATGCATGCAACGCTTTATGTTAGTTTATAAACACTATTTTATCCTATAAAAGTACTTAAGAAATATGAAATTTAATAATGTCTGAGTGTCCTCAAACATGAGAATTAGATAAAACTGGATACCCCATATGACTTCATGCAACATAGCTTTCAGGAGTTGAACACCTAAAACAGAGGAAAGGAATACATGCAATTAACAAAGCTTATATAGCATATGATATTTATAAATACATCCATAGTGCCATACTATTTCAAATAAACATGACATAGATAGATGTGTCTTCAACTGAGAATTATTCTTTATATTTGTCTCTTCTTCCTTTCCTCTGTTGTGGATCGGGAGCACACCAGGGAACACACACAAGCAATAACACAAGAGATTTAATGTGGTTTGACAAGTCGCCTACATCCACGGGTAGCGGATTTCACTATATGGAGAAATGTATTACACACTCTGTATTCTCTCTCTCTGTAAACTCTCTTAAGCTCATCACTCACCACATTTCCCTCTGTTCTCTACCTCTATTTATACACTGAGAAGGGAGAGAGATGGCTGGCCTTGCACATGGCCAGCTAGTCATTCAACGAAGGTGGATCGTCAACCATGGCGGCTTGTCGGTTGGCAGCCACAATCGAGGACATACACAGCCGACTTCACATTGGAGAGAATCACCCTCTTCACATGGGGTGATACCAACAAATCACCCCCTCAACCCATGTGAGGTGATCTATTGCACACACTGCTGCTAATCTTGTCATGTCCAAATTTCAACATAGTCTGCATCTCCTCACTGAGACGCTACATCCCCTGAAGCTAGAGATAATACAGCAGAGATACAAGAGGAGGAGGGAATACTACATCCTCAACTCAACTCACACCACTCTCTGATTTGGAGAGCGCCACCACTCCTATCTCCCACAGATCTCTTACATGCTTCCTGTCTCGGATGTCTTCATCTGCTATGCTTAAACTTGCATAACCAAGATATCCTACACCCCCTGATTGGATGTCCTGCACCCCCTACTGGGATGCCCTTGACTATCATGCCTTTGCCCTCTGTCTATAGTGATCGATCAACACTGCCTTGCACCTAAAAGTGCTCAGTTCCTGGAGATGTTGACCAAGTCCAAACAATGTTGGAACTTGATCCCAGAAACCACTTTTGTGAGCATATCGGCCGGATTATCTGCAGTACTAATCTTTTGAAGCAGAATATCCTCTTCATTCACAATTTCTCGGATAAAATGGAAACGGACATCAATGTGCTTGGTACGGGAATGATGAACCTGGTTCTTTGCCAAACAAATGGCACTCTGACTGTCACAGTACACCTCAAAGTGCTTCTGAACAATACCCAAGTCCTCAATCAACCCATGTAGCCAAATAGCTTCCTTAAAGGCTTCCGTCACTGCCATGTACTTTGCCTCTGTAGTAGACAAAGCCACCGTTGACTGAAGCGTTGACCTCTAATTCACCGACCCTTTAGCAAGTGTAAATACATACCCTATTGTTGATCGGCGTTTGTCCAGGTCACCAGCATAATCTGAGTCCATATATCCAACCAGATTCTGTCCGAGTCAGTTATCTCTCTCGAACTTCAATCCCAGATTAACCGTGCCATGTATGTACCTTAGGATCCATTTCACTGCCTGCCAGTGATCTTTTCCTGGATCATGCATATACCTGCTTACCATACTCACAGCATGCGAGATGTTTTTGTTTTCCCATTTATGCCAAATCTGTCTAACACCTTTTTTAGATACTGGGTTTGTGTCAGACAAACCGTGCCCTTCTTCCTATCTCTCTTGATCTCCATGCCAAGAATTTTCTTTACTTCTCCCAAATCCTTCATTTCAAACTCTCTTGCCAACTGTAACTTGAGTTTGCCAATCTCCACCTTGCTCTTAGATGCAATTAACATATCATCCACATATAAGAGCAAATAGATGAAGGAACCATCTGGAAGCTTACGGAAATATACACAATGATCAAATTGACTTCTTGTGTATTCTTTCTCTATCATGAACCGATCAAATCTTTTGTACCACTGTCTCGGGGATTGCTTTAATCCGTACAACGATTTCTTTAGCTTACAGGCCCAATTCTCTTTTCTAGCAAGTTTGAAACCATCTGGCTGGGACATGTATATCTCCTCTTCAAGATCTTCATGTAAAAAGGCAGTTTTGACATCGAGTTGGGCGAGCTTGAGATCAAATTGTGCAACCAAAGCTAACAAGATACGAATAGACGTGTGCTTTACAATAGGTTAGAATACCTCATTGCAGTCTATTCCTTCCTTCTAAGCATAGCCTTTAGCTACCAATCTAGCTTTGAATCTGATGTTGTCTTTGCCTGGGATGCCTTCTTTCTTGGTGTAAACCCACTTGCACCCAATTGTTTTCTTGCCTTTTGGACGTTGCACCAACTCCCAAGTCTGGTTCTTGTGAAGTGACCCGATCTCTTCATCCATAGCCTCATTCCAATTGACACTTTCTGCATGCTGCACGGCTTCTTTTAAAGTGCAAGGAACATTGTCTTCAATGATTGGAAGTGCATAGGCTACCATATCGATCATCCAACTAGGTTTCTTAGTAACCTTTTTTCCTTTTCTGATTGCAATGGGTTCTGATTGTTGTGGGGCCTCTGGATCTTCATTTTCATCTGAACTTTCTTCAGAGCTATCCACTGAGACTTCTTCAGGATGGTTGATTGGCTGACTAGTCTTTGCTGGAGTCTCAAACTCCACCTGCACTGACTTCTTCAATGCTTCATCATTTTCTTGAGGATTTGGTTGCTTCAGCATTGTAGACTCATCAAAGGTAACATCTCTTCTAGTGACAACTTTCTTTGATTCAGGGCACCAGAGTCTGTATCCCTTGACACCATCACTGAAGCCCAAGAAGATGGCTTTCTTGGCTCTTGGATCCAACTTAGATTCTGTAACATGAAAATAAGCTGGACATCCAAAGATACGTAGCTGATCATAATCAGTAGCTGACACTCCTAACCATACCTCCATGGGAGTCTTGCCATCTAGTGCTGCAGTAGGTAGTCTGTTGACAAGATGATGAGCATAGCTCAATGCCTCGCCCCAAAATGCCTTGCTCAATCCAGAATGTGACAGCATACACCAGACTTTCTCCACCAAAGTGCGGTTCATGCGTTCTGCAACTCCATTTTGCTGCGGTGTTCCAGGAACTGTGAAATGTCTCACTATCCCTGCATTCTGGCAAACCTCTAAGAAGGGATCTGATGTGTATTCCCCACCATTGTCAGATCTGAGCTTCTTGATCTTTCTGCCTGTCTGGGTCTCAATTATTTTCTTCCACATAAGAAAGATGTCTAAGACTTTGTCTTTGTGCTTCATTGTGTAAATCCAAACTCTTCTTGAAAAATCATCAATGAACGATACAAAGTAGTGTTTACCTCCCAATGAAGCATTCTTGGAAGGACCCCAAACGTCGGTGTGAACGTAGTCTAGAATCCCTTTGGTACGATGAATAGCAGTACCAAACTTGATTCTTGTTTGCTTGCCCAGTACACAATGCTCGCAGACTCAAGCTTCCCTGTTTTGGCGCCTTTCAACAGGCCTTGCTTTACCAATTCTTGTAAAGCCTTCTCACCGACATGCCTTAGGCGCATGTGCCAAAGTCTGGAAGTGTCTGATACATCATCTTCTGAGCTGGTGGAGACAACCACTCTCCCTGTGACTGTAGAGCCGTCTAAGAAATATAAATTTCCCTGTCGAGTACTCTTAATTGCAACAAATGCTCCTTGAACAACTTTGAGGACTCCACCTTCCATAGTTACTCTGTAACCTTTGGAGTCTAAAACTCCCACTGAGATAAGATTCTTTGTCAAAGCTGGTACATACCGAACATCTTCAAGAATTCTGATTGTTCCACCATGTATTTTCAGTCGAATTGTTCCAATCCCCTTTGTCTGGCAAGCTTGGTCGTTGCCTATCAACACAACTCCTCCATCGAACTCTCGTAAGCTCGAGAACCACTGCTTGTTAGGACACATGTGGTATGAACATCCGGAATCTATTATCCATTCATTAGACTGGCCATATGATGAAACTGTGAAGGCTGATCCTTCACCATTATCTCCATCTTGTGCAATGTTCACATTTTCTTCTTTTTTGTCTTTATTGGGACAATCTTTTGCCTAATGCCCCTTCTGGCGACAAGCAGCACACTCGTCTTTTGCAAGACGTCTTCTATCCGATGATTTCCCTCTGGATTTTGAGTGAGACTTTCCTCGCCCTATATATCTCCTGCTATTTGTTCTGCCTCTAACTGTCAATGCCTCGGATGCTGAGTCCCTGTTTGCATACTTATCTTTCCTTCTGAACTCATTGTTTACCAAGGCATTTGCAACATCAACATACTTGATCTTTTCTTTACCGTACAGTAAAGTGGTAGTGAGATGATCATATGAGTCAGGTAAGGAATTCAACAATAACAGTACTTTATCTTCATCACTAATGTGATCATCCAAAATTTTCAAATTCGTAAGAATTTTGTTGAAGTTGTGTAGGTGTTCGTTCATCGAAATACCTTTCTTGTAGTCGAAACGAAACAACCTCTTCTTCAAGTAGAGCCGGTTCTCAATGCTCTTTGCCATGAACTTATCTTCTAGCGCCTTCCAAAGGTCCTTCGCAATATCATATGGCGTACTTCTCCTCTTTTGCAAGGCAAAGTCGGATGGAACTGCAAGCCAGGAGATTCACCTTCTCCTATTCTATCCCGTCCAGGTCATCTGGTTTGTCTCCCAGAGTGAAGTGCAAGTTCATCTGGACAAGCATATCTTTAACTTCGCATCTCCACATGCCGAAGTTGCTGCTTCCATCAAACTTTTCTACCTCGAACTTAGCATGGGACACCGGGGTCCAATGCCTAGAGTTGCTTGTACTCGTTGGATTACTTACGGACTCGATGGATCTAGTCTTTGTAGATTCTTCCATTAAACTATTTTTTTTAGAAACTTCGATTCAAAAAACTGACCGTACGGATGTGTCCGGAATACTCTAAATAGTTGGAAAGCACTATTGGATCGTCAAAAACGGACTCCGAATGACTCAGATCAAGTCAAAATAATTTGAACACCTCCGATTCAAAAACTGACCGTACGGATGTGTCCGGAATACTCCAAATAGTTGGAAGACACTATTGGATCGTCAAAAACGGACTCCGAATGACTCAGTTAGAGCCAAAACAGTGTGGACGGTTCAGATCTGCAGAATCTGGTGCGCTGAGATGCACCGGAT